CTATTTCTTCTTTGTGTTGTGTTTGAAGATTTGGACAGCGCGACGGCCGTGGAGATGCGCTGGCTTGGACATGACTGATTGTTCATCTTTAAAGAGTTGTTCAGAGGGCGCCTCCTCGCACTTGCAAGCATGTTTCCTCGAATTTATGTTTACACAGTCAGTTGAGGAGGATCTGGAAAACATGATAACGTTGGAAGCTGAACAGATCTGCTATAATGCGGGTGAGCTTGCTGGAGAATCTTGGGAGCGAAGCCACGACATTGCATTGCCCAGAGTAGGTATGAGCATTCGCTACAGAATGAAGGTTTGAGTCTGAGATGCAAGTGGATTGTTTATTTTGTCCATTGCCCTTTGCCTAAGGTGAGCATGCTTGGCGATCCCAACTTCCATCCGTGCGCCCGGCGAGCTTGGGATTCGCGATGGGACTGCGAGAGACTTCAACTGCCTAGGGGACAACTGTGGTTCAACCTTTTCCTTTTACGGAGAAAAACCTCTGGCCTGCGGCACTGGTCACGGTACAGTTGCAGTAGGGTAGCGCTCAGCTCTGCATCGAGCAGCGCGTGGCAAAAAAACGCAGCGCAGGTCAAGTCATGTGGTTTCAGATCACTCGCCCCCTGTGCGTAACTTCAAGTTCCGCAAGTCACCCGAGCTGGATCGGCGTCGGCCAGAACCAGAATCTGCCAAACCACGCCCAATCGCGGCCTCGCCCCAGACACACCTTCTGCATCCATGTTGTATCATTTGCTTTGCTGGCCAGGTACACCTCCCAGAATGAGCCGAAGCTTGAGTCTCAGCATGTCGGGCCGGCCGGTGAGGTGCACTTTGCAAATACAACAAAGGGATCAATGGACCTAGGTTTGGTCACTTCACATATGCAGAACGGTTCAATGGGATGCAAGGCAATCTTGCCAGGTTGCAGAAGTGCATCGGATGAGCTTGATGTGGAAAAAGTATTCCTGTGAGTACTCCAAGAAATGTCATTTTGTTTGCAAACGAGTGCTGCTGCCAAGGTCTTCATGGCCAACATCTTGAAACAAGTGCTCTCCTCCCCTTTGCACATGCAAGAACCATTTCCCGTGGAAGGGAACCATTGTCTGAACAAGTTGGGGCAACTTGTGGCAGCCTGCGCATTTTGGGGGTTGCTTTTCAGCCATAACGGTTGAAGCTTGCTGGTGTTGAAGAAGCAAGCAGCTTGAACATGCAGCGCGCCAAGAGTAACCCTCAAGTTGTTTTAGGATGTATCAGGAACAACCAGGACGTCTCAAGCTCCCCCGGAAGTGTTGCACTCTCTGCCAGTTGTTTGATTTTCATCGATTTTCCTTATTATTTCAGACGCCTTTGATCTCCGGCTGAACATGCACAACACAGCACCTGACTCAGATGCATGTCCTACATTCTGAAAGCCAACGTCTCGGGTGTCTACGGGAGGAAGTGGAACATATTCCATATTCCTGAGTTGGAGTGTAACCACTTCCATGGATACATGTATATAAAATGACACGATCGAAGGTGTAGTCGTTGGACGAAGGCAGTTGCTGATCCCCCTCTTCCAATCTTCCCTTCAGCTGGAGCACTTTTGTTTGGGACCTGTTGTGTAAGTCTGTCCTTGCCACAGGCCCCATTGGGGGTCTGTTTACTTTCATTCCCTTTTGCCAGCCACAAGGGAGAGTCCAAGACCTTTTAGCGCGCTTCCAATATTTGGACTCTACACTACCGTTCCTAATGATGTTTGTGTGGGTTGGTGGTGGCTGGCCTTCTTTCTTTTGCCCGTTTGATGGTTTAATGATTCTGGGGCACCCCCACCAGCAGGCTTACAAGGGCTGCAGTATCCCCTTGACCGCAAGCGCAAACTCTTTTTGGTATATGTGAAAGCCAGAGACTGCCTTGGATGGCTTGAAAAGGAGGACCGCCATTTGGAGGGGCCGATTCCTTTGGCACCCTGATAGGTGGCAGGCCCAGGGTGGCCTCCTGCGCCTCTCTCTGGAGGAGGTGAAGCACCGCTTCGGCGAGGCCGGCAAAACCCGAAAAACCAAACGAAGCGGTGGGATCAGTACTAGTACCTCCGAACTTCTGAACTCTGGGTTTGTTTCAGGGGTTCCCTCCTTAGAACATGACGCATTGTTTTTTGAACCAATGCCATGCGGGCGATGATTAGTTGTGTACGCTGTGCTGTGTGCATGCCATATGCGGGCATCGACGCACGAGAACCGATCACCTACAATTTGGTCAGGATCAGCTTACTTTTGGTTGGATCGCTTGGCACTGGGAGTTCGAGTGATTGCAAGATTTCTGAATGTCTTTGGGCCACAGGAATGTCCTTTGCGCCCTTGGGCCACATTCCAGGCTACCCAGATTTGGTTTCCACAGAGTTGGGGAACGACTAGGCAACCATGCAGCCGATTAGATGTATATAATGGGCTTGAGCCAAACAGCCTTGATGTGAAACTTCGATCTTGGGCGGTGTAGCATCGCCAGATCGTGCTTCACATGCGTGTGGGGTATCTTCTTGTCTCTGAGGTGTTTGGCTTCAACAAATAGATAGACGCTTTAACATCATGCCTGCAAGTAGAAACAACGTCTCCATATCATAGGGCACCTCAAGAACAACAGCCTTTGCAACCAAGGCAAAGGATGAACAACGGTATTGTTTTGGTGTCGGAATCGACGCCCGCGTCCGTTTGGCCTAAAGTGCCCGAGGTGTAATGGGGAGGTGGACGAAAAGGGCCGCATCTGCATCACTTTTGGGCGTGCGGTGCCATGCTTGTTTTTCCACCGCGGTCTGTTTGTACCCTTGGTGCATGCCAACGCCCCCCTCCCCCAAGAGAGACATCACGGCCCAAAAGTATGCGTGCCGACCTGGACCACATTGGCTGTTGGCATCAGCGCTCAAGCTTGACATGCCTGAGCTGCCAGGAAGTAGCGCAAGACGTGGTGCGATGTGCCAAAGAGTTGGACAAGTGCCCGCTGACAACAGACAAGGTGTACCTTCACTCCAATAGGTCTTTTCCAGGGGCACGGAGGGTTCCTGTCCACACCCTTCCACGGTTCTGTGGCTCTTCAATGTCAAGAGCCAACGCATCCCAGGAGTCAGGTTCTTGGTATAATCTGGTTTTGTCTCTTCCACCTTGCTTGGGGACATCTCAGTGGAAGCGCTCCTACCCTTGCAGGCTGCCGGAAGTTGTGACGGACAAACCAGTTTTTACGCCTGAGTAGTTAGGACACGCATACTATCCGTGCACAAAGTCTTTCATGTTTTTAACATGTTCTGCCTTTCCCACCTTGGAACCATTTGCTTTGGCTCCAGATGAAAGAGATTGTTGCACCACGACCAGCCGCTTGGCTTTGCTCTGGATCATTGCCAATATCCCAGGAAAAATCACGGATCAGCGTGACTCATTTGTTCAATGGTCGAAATGGTCACGCTTCAGCGGAGCCTTAGGGCTGGCTTCCCTTGGCGTTGGAACTCGGGGGATGACGGCTGGAATTTCTTGGGACCTGAGCCTCGCTGTGAGATAGGTACGACGCCTCTCGGCGCGTGGGGGTTGAGCTGCCCTGGCACCCCGTGGAGGATCGTGAGTTGGACCCCGCAGAGGCGTGCAGGGGCAGGTGGCCAAACCAAAGGGGAAAGGACCCTCAGGTAGTGGTAGTAGTGGATGATGCAAAGCCTCAGCCCAGAAGACTGAGAAGATAGCTTTGCCGTTTTGTTTGGTTCGGAAACAAGAGCATGAGATGTTTTGTTTCGTGCTGAATAGTTTCTTCTATTTGCTGTTTTCTCTTCCATGTCAATCCATTTGCAGGTATTTCCGGAGGGGGCTGAACATGTTGCCCGCATATTGTTTGCGGAAGTTCTGCAATACTACAGGACTATGTTTACGAAGATGGTGTTGTGCGAACTTTTGCATGAGGTGTAACACATGTGCAACTTGATTCACCAGCATGTTCCCAGACGTCCCTTGCCGTATTCTGTCGTTGTGATGAGCACGTGTTTTGCAATGGAAACCAGTTGTTGCTTTGGAGCCTTGTTCTTTGTCGATTGCTTGAACTTGGCTTGTTGAATCGTTTGATGCCGCCATTCACGGCACAGTGTGTGCACCTGTTGGTCACACCCCCACAGTAGGCGTAGTTTGTTTGGTGCCGGCTTGATTTTGTGACTAGAGGCCAGGCCCATATCTGGTCAACGTAGTTGCAGGATGATCGTGCAGTTTGCTTTCACAGATGTATGCTTAGTTGGGGTTGGTTGAGCATGTTCCGGCCGGAGTGACAGATGTACTGTGACTCACTATGCACAACCCCGCATTTGGGCATCCATCCCAGTTGAGAATGCATTTGAAGAACTTGCAGCAAGGAAAGCTTGGAATGAAGGCTGGCTGATTGGACCGAAAGAACGGCAGGTGTCGCTTACTTGGCAAAACTGCACCATGTTGGCTGGAATATGCTATTCTTGCACACTTTGCCCTTTTCCTCCAGGGCGTAAGCACACTCCACGAAGACATCATGTTCTGGAAGCAGCGCTTGTTGTGGAGGGCGCAGCGGTTGCATCCACCGTTGAGAAGGCAGCCAGCCAAAGAGCCGGGTTGCAGACAATTGCGTATGCTTGCAGAACAACAAGAGCTTGCTTGGCAATCCACCAACTGTTTCCTGGGTCATCCAAGCGGTTGCATGCAGCTCGACCATCTTGCCGCCTCCATCGCCACTGTGGTCGTTTGATCTCAAGGCTGGGAGGGAATGGCATATTTTGTTTTGGTAGCACAAGCCGGCATTGTTGTTTGTACGGCTGGCGATGTCTGTTCTCGTAGTCGTTATCCAGACCAATCTTCTCTGACCCTCGAACAAACAAACTAGCACTGCTGAGCACACAGCCGGAGTCGCTCTTCCAAGTCAGAATAAGCACTTGGGCCGCATATGCTAGTCTATCTTGGGAGAATCAAGGCAGTTGCAGTCCAACTTCAGGCACCTCTGTGGAGTCGGCTGTTCGCGTTTCTTCCCCCGTCGACTGAGCCATGCGGCCCACGCAGCTTGCCTTGGCCGTGAGAGCTGGATGGCGAAAGCTGGGCTGGCGCGCCTGGGCAGGGGCCTCAGTGCCAAAGCCTCTTGCGTCGGAGCCAAGCGCGACGCGCCGTCTATGTCGAGGGTAGTGGAAGCAAGGAAGCGATTTATCCGACCACTTCTGTGATACAAGGGAATCCCCCTACACTGGCTCAAGCACTTTCGTTCCTGGGCGCCTTCCCATTTCAGCAGACTCATGCCCGCAACATGATTTCAGCCAAATGTGACTTTGTAGTTTCTGGTGTTTGTTAGGCTCATATTCCCATTGTGTGAATATGCTCCTACGTGCACTCAATCACTGCCGTTTGGGAGCCGTACCTTAAGAATTGTAGACATACTTTCCTGTATAGAATGATTTGTTTTGATGCGGTCGCCTGACGCACAGACTGGTGGCGACTGCATGGACCATTTGGGGTTGTTTCATTTTATTTCGAGTGGTTTCGAATGGACCCAGGCAAAGCTACCATAAGCTACCTGCTCACTTACTGAAATGCAGACGCGTTGACAGTATAATATGTGTACGGGAATCTACATGTTTATGCGCAGCATGCGTACGATACATGAACAAGCAAGCCAGGGACCCAATACGTGTCCCGCTTGATGGAAGTCACATTGAGGCGAGAGGGGTTCAACGCCCTGCGCTCCACTGTCTTGACATTAGTGTAGTTGCATTCCCCTTCAATCACTCGGCTCATTTGGCTTCGGCAGGACGGCGCAAGGACCAGCGTAAAGGAGTGGAGGCAACAAGAGAGAACAAGCATGTTTTTCATGTCAAAGGTGAATCAAGACGGGGCAGATAAAGCGCCGAACAGATGAAAGCTAGCAGGTGGACCAAGCAGAGCCAGCAGCAACTTCAGTATCAGCAAGCTCTCTGTTACCAGCTGTGCCAAAAGCTGTGAGTAACCGTGCAACGGGGCAACATGACTGGCGATAAGTCTTTGCCTTCTCCTTCTTGAAGAGCTCGCACCTGCTACTTGCAAGACTGAAGTACAAGTACACATTCCGAAAGACATGTCGTGATGCTGTTTGTGCGGATATATGATTCTTACCATTCAGGCGCTGGTCTTGGCGTGGGCCGTCCACTACCTCAATGGCCACTCAGTTGCGTGCAAAGTGTAGAGAGCGCTTTCGTTCTCGGATGTGAGCATTCTTTTTTCTGTTCATTCAACTTGTTTTGCACTCCCTCTCTGCACACTGATATGATATGCTGTATCCAATAGCTGTGCAAGGACAGGGTGTTAGGCTGTTTCTCCTGTCTCGTCCTTTCCAGCACCATCATATCCACAAAGCTGTGCGTATGTTGCATGAATCCTCATGAGAGCTGTGTTGGCAGATCATCTGCATAGGTATCCAACAAACTCACTTATTTGTAGCTGAGGCACAGACACCTGTGACACTTGTGGTATTGCTGACCTCATACTAATCCACCGCAGTTTTTTAATAGGGGGTGTTCACCTCCAAAAGTGATGATTCCCCACTGGGCCACCCCTATTGATAAACTGGGGTTAATGAATATGGGGTCAACATTATGTTCAACTACCAGTTACCGATGGCATCATTCATCACACATGTTCGCTGGTGGCAAGCGTTGCAATCGAACAAGTCGTTGTTACGAGATCCACTGCAGCAGGCCATGCTTTCAATAGCCACCATGAATTCACCATGTGTCAAACACACCATACACACTTGAGTTCAACATAAAAGCAGTGCTAGACCATGCAGAGCTTGTTAAACTGAATTCATATTTCAGGCTGCTACTTAACAACGTCAACGCCACAAATACTCCGCATCAGACATATAGCACTGAGAACGAATGCAGTCTTAACCAGGGCTTCATGAGTACAACACTGTACATAATTTAACACCAATCAGCAACTAGCTGGACACTCAACCAGCAGAGGCCAGTGTTGGATGGGGGTTGCACAGTATCGCTCAACAGATTGAGAGTAAAGATATTGATTCCTAGTCCGTTCCGATTTTGCCTGTGGCAAGATTCATTATTTCCTCCATGTGTAGTGGGTGTTGTGTGATGCAGCCTACGTGAACGTGCTTTCCCAGTTGACAAGTAGGTCCCGATTGGAATTTGACGCATCGTTTCAAGGATGTTGAAGCAACCGTTTTGGAGCAAACACCCCTGATGTAGAGCAGGAATCACAGTTCGTCGCTCATAGCCCTTTGAGATGCTCATAGTGAGGCAACACGCCCAAGCTGCTTCCTGTCTTCAAGCCAAAGGTCTCACACCGGAGTTGTGTTTTGCCAATTCTGCTTGCTTCCAAGCATAGCAGAGGCGCAATGATGGACCTGGCAAACCGGGCTGTCCATGTCACGGCAGTTTCGCGTAGCAAGCCCGACTGGACTTGTCACTGAGCCCAGGCTTTTCTTTGGCACCCCATAGGGCCCATAGGGACGACGGGGCCAGTGCAGAATTGGCAACTCCAGAATTAAAGTTTTTCGAAAGTTGAAGGGAAGCATCCAAAACCTGTGAGGCGTCCGCAGGGTGCGCTTGCACCTGGCGAAGACATCCAAAAGCAACCACATGCGGCAGGCCGTTCCGAGAGCGGTTTGTCATGTTGGAGAATCGCACGCTGGGCTGCGTGCTGGTGTATTCTTTTGTTTGGTTCATTGCTTCTCAAGTTCCGTGTTTAATGTCGCCGAACCCGACCATGCTACAGCCCAGTAGTATTCGTGCTCATCTAAGTGATTTCACCCAAGTCCAAGGTGCAAGATTGAGTTGACACTGTGGCTGTGGCTTGCTTGCTCGCAGGGTTTCGATCAGCAAATCCTAAATATGCGCCCAGACAGGACTGATTGTTCACCACGTGTTCAAAAGAAGGCTTCCGGTGACGTGCGGAGCCTTTTCTGCGGAATGTGTGACATTGATTTGCGTGGTAGCCTGACTTGCTTTGTGCTGTGGACTGCGGTTCTAAAATTGGCCTGTCCATGGCGGACTCATGCCTACATTTTTTGCACTGAGGGTGGGGTCGGTGTTCCACTGCTGCGCTAAGCACCTTCGCTATGCGCAATGTCGGCGTTCGGGTTAGGCAGTACTGGGAGCCCTAGACAAGCCTAGTTCACTGCTTGAGGCGGCGGCCCCAGAAAATAAGAGTTTTCAGAGGAACAACGACACATTGCAGTTGCAATTTGCAATTGTCTAGCAGGTCATTAGTTGAGGGTTCACGCTGTCTAGCCAGCATTCCATTGTTATTGTTCGAGGATGACACCGGGCATGCGGCAAAGAAGTGAAGCCCAGTATACCGTCATGGTGGTTAGTTGGAGTGCTGATGTCGGATGCTATGTCGGCATGAGGCATGTCGATGCATGTTGAAACTTTCTCTTCAATTAGCCGATCTGGAATTTGCATGTCATGTTTGATGTTGCTTTCCACGGCCAAGGCAACAGATTCATCAGGTTAGTTTTTTCTGAGCATGCATGTTGCAGACAGTCATATTGTTACACAGTCAAACAGATGTGTAGGGTCTTAATGATTTAACATGAGCTGGGGCCACGATGCAAGTATCGTGAAGTAGCCAAGGTAACAGGATTCATTGCTCCTTCACAGCTTGGACTGGTCGTCGTTGTGGCGTCTCGCATGAGCGTTATCGCAAGTGTTCTTCCGACAAATCTTAAAGCTGGCTTGGTACCGGTGCCTCAATCTGAGCCTTTGGGGTCCCTTCATTTGGCACAATGCCAGTAGCATCCTCAACTCATCATCCACCCCCTCACCATCTCGCCGCACGTTGGATCCGTGGTATACGGGGAATCGGCAAAACAGCAACTCCGCGCCAGCGCATGCAGCGCATCATGGAGCAGTGCCCGTCCATGTTCAAAGTGCAGCTCGGAGGATGTTTGCGATATTCCATCACCTGATGCTGAGGTTGTTGGATGTTGTTGGTCATGTTGAGGTTGTTGGATGTCAGGATGTGGAATGTTGTTGGCGCAGCTACTTGCTTGTGTTTTGTCATGGAAGCCTGGAAGCCCTCCCTTTGGAGACTTGGCTTGCCGAGGCCGGCGTTTTCCTTCCCTTAGGCTTTCTGTTTAGTCGAACGGGACTACAAAACCTAGCCCGATTTCTGTGAAGCGCACTGTGTTCCCTTTCTCGTTTCCTTCTAATGGCGGTCCTGGAAGAACGCGTGGCTGACAACGACACGGTGTTCTTTATGCCTTTTGGGACGAATTGTTTCTCTCTGTGTTGGTCTAGCACTTAGCTGCCGGCCCAACAACAACAGCGTAAGGCACCCGTGATAAGTTGCCTTGCTGCCGCACGAAGGCAGTGCCAACTTTTGAGACCCCCCAATTCAACAAGCATAATACAGCGCCATTTGGGAGTATTCTTGTTGTTTGCTTTTGTTCTGAACAAAACAGCGGTGCGCCCACAGGAACGCGGTCGCCCGTCTTCCTGTCGGCACTTCTTGTGCTGCTCCTTCGCTTTCGGCATGCGTAGGGGGCAAAGCGCCACAGAACAAACCGCATCCCCTCACCAGAGCACGCTCGCCAACCCATTTCTCGTCTGTGTGCCTACTGAGTGTGTTGGTTTGTTCGAACCTGAGGTATTGGCCCACCTGGTACGCCTACTCGGCCATGCAGCAGATCCTCCTGCTTGGCGTCAAGGAAATCCTTGCGATTTTCCAGTCCAACGTCTACACCCGCCAGACGCGCGTCGTGAGCGTGTCTGTGTGTGTGTGTGTGCGTGTAAAACATGAGGGAGAAACGGGAGTAGGAACTATCCAGGAAGTTCGATTTTGGAATGTTCACCTTGGATGGCATTGTGGACCGTGATGACTTGTGAGAGAATCCCACAAAATCGCATGGGGCCCTGTCTGTCCAAAGGTTTGGTCTTTTCGTACGTAGCATCGTCAAAGGAGCCAACTTCTTCACAAGGATTCAACAAGCGCTTAGGATTACCTTCACCAACAGTACGGGAGGCTGAATGTGCAGGATCATGTGAGTGTCGAAATTGCTGTAGACCAACTCAATTTCCTTTGGTCTGTTGGTACACCGTTGCCAGGGTGGTGTCATGGCTGCTCCTCGCAGCTCCCTGATGGATTCGGTTGGTCTCCAGGAGTTGGGTGTAGATGCTTTGGGGGCAAGCAGTCGTCAAGCCAGATTACCCAGTCATCAACCCCAGAGTCGAGATGTCCAGCTCGCAAATGATGGAGGCCACGGGCTTCGGAGTAAGAGAAGTCTTTCGAGAGCCCTAAGGATCTTCCAGCTTCGGGACTCCGCCAATATCGCGCTGGACTGGGTGGTTCCAGAGCGTGCTGCTGGGCTTGCACCGTATGCTTGGCTATATCCTTGACTTCGTGAACCGAGCCAAGTGGCCGAAGGAAAAGCATATGCTCCTCAAAAGGAGAGGTCTAATGAGGTCATAGCGAGTCAGATCTTTGGCTAACTAACATGGCGCATGCCTGTTGCGTGTTTGTGGACCCAGCCGCTTTCACCCAATAGCAGGCGCTGCTGCTGCTCCCTTTGTTCAATGTTAAGAATGTCTCACTAGTTGACTAGTTGCGTGATATTGAGGATGGACTTGTTCCTTTGACACCCATTATTTCGGAAGCAAGCAAGGTTATCCGTTTTCCTCCAATGAACTAGTGCAGCCCAAGTTGATGGTCTGAGGTTCAATTGAGCAACATGTTGCGTGGGCGGCATCACAGTGTAACGAGGACATTCACCCGGGAGCTTTGGTTTTTGCCCAAAGAAGCTTTGGGGTGGTTTGCTTCCGGGAGGGTTCCGAAGGGTTCCGAAGGGTTCCAGGGGTTCCAACTCTTTACGAAGCGTTCGCGGAAGGCTTCTCTGTGGCCTCAGTCTTTTGTTGGAATGCAGCTGTCGGTTTGCTGCCTGATTTGGCACCGACAGAAGGGAGCGTCCTTGCTTTGATTCTATTCTTGAACTGAAGAACACAGACATATATGCCCATGATGCTGTGTTAGCGATTGTGGTTGGCCTCATAGCGTGCCCCAACTACTGCTGCTGTCATTTCAGAGATTTTGTTGCCCAGGCAGGTAAGACCTTCATACTCTATCCGGGCTGTTCTCCACATTTTCAGGACAGCGTTTGATTTGTCATCTCTTGACGATGGTGTCGTTTACTGAGGAATTGCAAGATGGCCCGGTGTGCATTCTGCTACATGGCGCCATTCAGGACTGCTACTGTGTTTCTTTGGGTGTGTTTCTTTGTGACTGACGCGTTTAAGCTCTACGTCTAATCCGGTTGCCCACAGCCACAGGAAGTCATGTGACAAGAAGTGGCAGCTTGCTGATCAGTGGATGGCTTTGGCCGCACGCACAACTCACTGGCCCTGCGGGAAGAAACAATGGGCTCAGGCCAACATAGGCAGCATGATGTAATCCTGAGCCAGCACTGACCGTTGACTTGTGCCAGCATGCGTCAACTGTACTGTGCATGACATAGTTGAGTGGATTGGTATGTTTGGTCATGTAATCCAGAAGAGGGTTTGGTGGGAAGCCAGCGCGACGTTTCGAGCTTTCGGGTGCAAACTTGAGTAATTATGACCACCAAAGAGGGTGGTCCAGTTTGAGACAAAGAGGAGCAGCTCTAAAAAACACCCTTTACATCCCAACAAGAGTTGTGTCATGACAAGGCCCCGCACAAGCAAAACCCTGCACGGAGTAAGCCGGCGCAAGCACTTTTTGGGGAAACATGTTGCGTAAGCACCCGCGTAAGCTCTTCTTCGTAATTGATTGGTAAGCTTTGTAAGCATGCCCAGAAGAGTTGTTTCACACATGTGCTGATGTGTTTATTGGTGGCTTCTGCTGTTTCAACCTAGTCCAGCTTGGGAACTTGCCCGGGGACGCGGGCTGCTGGAAGGCGTCTAAGACCGCATGTGCGCACCAATAGAAAATACAACCAGCAGAGCTTTGATTGAGAGCTCTTGGGGCTGCTGCCGGGTGCTGTTGAAACCTCTACTAGGACAAACAAAGGCTTATTTAGGAAAACTAGGGGCTGGGGCGCGTAAGCTCGCGTAAGCAGGCGCGTAAGGTTCGCGTAAGCTCGCCTAGCTCGGTTGCCCGCTAGCCAGCCCTCGCCGTAGATGCCGCCGCCTCATAAGCCGCTGCTTGACCTGCAGTAAGAGCAACCACGCCAAGCCAACGCCAAGCCGCTGAAACTCGTGAGAGGGTAGTTCTTCGTCATCTTCTTCCTCAAAGTCATCCACGCCATCTTGAAGAGCTTTGGCGGCTGAAAGGGAAAAGGAGCCCGCGTAAGCAACGCTGAGGGGAAACGCTCAAAACGCCGACGCGTAAGCAATGCGTAAGCAATGCGAAAGCTCGCCCGTAAGCAACTTGATACAACATAGGGATTCATGAGGTTAATAGAGTGGCTCAGGTGGCTTTATTGTTTTGTACTTCTGCCGGCATCAAGCAAGCGCAGCCGGTTGGTTACTAATTGGCAGGGAACAATTTCCCTGACCAGGATGGGTGTTTAGGCCATGGTCAAAGCCAAAGCATGGATCAGCACAAATGTGTAGCACACTCATTACTCACAATTAAGAAAGTATGTTTGATTGTCCGTGGGCGTTATTTATCCGTGACTTTCCCATTGGTTGCGCCTACTGGGTGTGGAACATTTGCAGGACAGCCGCAGCTCCACGATGAAGGATTTGGCATCGGAGCTGGCGCAAAGGGGTCTGCTTGCAGTGCTCCTCGGACGGTTGGTGTCCGCCAGAAATGGGCTGCTGATCACCCCCTATGCCAGGCCCCTGTCCCGCCCTCCGCAGGGACTCTCCTTTTGGCTGGCGCAGTTGAGGTTGCGCGTGTAGACAGCCGAGGGACTATGATTTTCCTCGGGGTACAACTCTAACATTTCCTCTTCTTTTTTTTTGCGCAAAGCCCTGTAGGCTTGTCATGAAGGGAGATGGACCCGGCGTTGCTCAATTTGCCCGGAGTTTGTGCGGGAGTGATGTGCTGCTGTAGATTCTAGATGGGCGTGATGTTTCGGCCTGGCGGTGGATCTCTCCTTCACAACCAGCACATGTTCATAGCCCTTTTCCTACCCAGAAACCGCCACCAAAAGAGGAACAGTGGTTGCAAAATTACCCAGCACCATCGCGTTTCGATGAGGCCAGTCACAGGCGGCACATGTGAACCGATATGGAGTAGCTGAAACGGTCACTTCGTGGTTTTGAGGCAGCTTTGAGTGTCAGCACAGGCTGTTGGCCAGCAATTGCGCAGGAAACACAAAAGCTGGCTCCTGAACGCCAAAACGAGAACAACAACGGCAATATTAGGTAATTAGGTCCTGACGTGCATTAGTCCGGTACTTTAGAATTGTTATGTTCGCATATATTACTTGGACTGAAGGGTTGAGCCGAGCTTGAGCGAAAGTGTGCTTCGCGTGCGACACTTGTGCTGAACAAAGAAAGGTGTTTGGGAGCATATGCCGTCAAAGCGTTTCTCTCGCAGTACACATATCTTTCATCTCGATGATCGAGCTTGAGCTCGCATATACTACATAAGCCGGGCCACCGAGGCTCTGTAAAATGATGAGGACGAAACGATAGGGCACTCGAGGTTCAAAGGCAACTAGCGGCTTCTACACAACCCATGGCGCCTGCCGACTTCCCACCGTCAGGATTGAATTGTTTGATTTAAGTGTACAACCAATTAAATCCAGCAGAGCAAGATAAGCAGGGCAGCACCTTCTCAGATCCCTCGTACCCCTACACTCCAGTCTAGCTCTCGGGCACCTGCCGGGGAGCCATTATTGCCTTTGCGTTTGCACCTTGTTTTGGCTTTCAAGGGAAGGCAGGGCCCATCGTTTCAAATGGGTGGTAGTTTCTGTAGTTTTGAATCTATGTCTTGCCGACCTTGAGAATTGCAACATGATCTGGTTGTAAAGGGAAGAGCTAGTTTCGTGACGTCAACTCATGTCTCCGTTGGGACGCTTTGACGTGGTTTGAAACGTTTGTGTTGCCATCTTCAGGGTCATGAACCGCCGCGGCTACGGGGACTTGGAGATGGATGCCTCCACGGCGCGTGTGACGTTGTTCGGCTTCGATGAGGAAGGGTCCTGCCTCAGCACGATGACGAAATTACAAAAAGCTGGGGCTGCACCTGGTATTATCGAACAGGTTCCATGCTGCCTCAATCATAATCATCGGCCATCACGGAAAGAACAATTTGACTACCACAGTAGCATAAGCCCAGGCATTCTTCTTTCAACCTTTATGTTGGCGTTAGGAACGTTGTGCATGTTTGAACGCGAGGGCACTGGGGTCGCGCGAGCCTCAGCCGATTTCGTGCAGGCACGCCGTTTGCGAAGCAAGCCGTACTAGCGGAAAGAGGGCTGTGCCGTTGAAGGGGCAGCGGTGCGCACTCAGCACCAAGATCCTTTTCTGTTTTAGAGTTTGAGGGGTTGATTTTCTGGGTGATTTTTTTTCTCCATGTGAACAAGCTATTTGTTGGATTTGTTCAGGGTCAGGCTGGTTGGACATGTGTTTTTACTTAGCCTGGCTGCCCTGGCTCGTATTGAGAACCTATTCTTGTTGCGAAAAGTTCAGAGGGTTTTATTTTGAGTTTGCATTACTTGTTAGTGTTGATGCGCGCCTAGCTTCAATCCGAGACTTGGTTTGCGCGATGTTCTTTGTCCTTCTGTTTTATTGATATGTAATGCTCCTTGCAATTGTCGCGGTAGTTTTTGTGGCATACGTGTGAATTATCCTATACACTTTGGTTTACAATGTTTTTGCGCCTCCCTGGGTGAACCTGTGCTTTGGGTTTATTTTTTGAGTGCTGGTGCGTGTCCGGCTTTTTGCCTCACCCAAATGCAGAGCCATTTGCTTGAGTTTTGGCTGCTGATGAACCTTGCAGGCAGCGGCAGATTTAAACAGGTGCTCATGGATTACCTTTTGCCGATTTCTACACCCACCCCAAAAAGGTTTTATACGTTTGCCGGTTTCTATACCTTCCGCTGTTTTATGCTTGGCACCCCAATTTCATGCGTGGTTCCCATTTCGATGTTCTCAGCTTGCCGCGGCTTCCTCGTGAGGACCTGGACGAGGTCATGCTGGAAGTGGGCAAGAGGGCGCCAGGTCGGCCGGTGGCCATTGTGGGCTTTTCCTGTGGCTCAGGCGCGAGCCGTCGGCGCAAGTGGCATTGGCGCAGAGTGTCCATGCCCGTTTCGGATGGCGTCTCAAGCCTTGGGATCTCCTTTTCCCGAAGGCTCCTAGAAAGGTAATGGGCAAAAGGTGGTAGCCTGCTGGCATTGCATTGCTTGCACGCACTTTTTGCATTGCGCTGACTTTTACAGCATCTTGCCTTGCGTTGCTTAGCGCTTCTTCGATTGAGAATTGCATGATGCGCGCAGTGTGTTGTTCTGTGCTGCTTCGAATGCCTTTGCTTAGCATTGCTTTGCTCACTGCTTTGCTTGCTCAGCCCCTGCGCTGCTAGCACAGAGAGGCTTTCATTGCATTGCTCGCACTGTTCTGCTTTGTTTTGGGCTGCTTGCCTTCTTGCTTTCTGCTGCTTGCTCAGCGCAGCGCTCCGAGTTTGGGCCGCTTGTGCAGCGTTGGTGGTGTTTGTATGCTTGCGCGGCTTTGTTTGTGCCACTCCTCCTCAATATTCCATGGCGCCTCACCGCACTTTTTGCGGCTCTGGCTCGGAAGTAGCATTTCTTCAAGGAAAGTTGTGGAGAGAGAACAAAGTACACATTTTCGGAACTTAAAAAAACAAGTTTCGCAGCTTGTTGTCACAAGAGTAGTTCGTGAAGTGTGCTTTCCCAATCTTTGGCTGAAAGGCCGAAACGGTAGCGCACGAAAGACACTCTCGCACTGCTTGCTCGAACATCTCGACTTTCTGCTCGACAGGTGCGCATGAAAGCGCTTTCACAGCTATTGATGCGCCCTTGCAGCTTTGCCTTCAAAGTTGCAAAAGTGCCAACACGAGCGTACAACATGAATGGCGCATCTTTGCAGCTCCGGCCACAAAGCCGCAGTGCTCTGCACGAAACTGAGGAAGGTGCCGCTTCCACAGCTTCATGCTGGAAGTCTCAGCTCTTTTACTCGATGTACATGGTTGCAGCTCCTGTTCAGCTCCTGGAACATTCTATTTGTTCAGAAGCGCGGCATACTCACTAGTCTTTGGGCAGCACCGTCTTTCAACTCTCCATCTTGATCATCTTGCCAAGAGCCTTGTGTTTTTATTTTTGTGCAAGAAAGCAGCTAGCGTTGCGGTACTGCGCTGCTTGCATCGACTGCATGAACAGTCACCTGCACTTCCATCATGGATTAGGTCTCTTGGCTGGGAGGCGCCATATTCAGAATGTGGTGTGCCCATGTTGCCTGTCCCTGACCCCTTGGGTTCCCGTCAGCTAGGCCAGGCAGGGCGCTACGCCGCCCATCGCCAGCACCTCTCCGCCTGGCAGGAGCTTCCGGTGCGGTGTGAGTTTGGCTCTCTCCCTTGCAAAAGCACCTACCAACCGAGCAATGGATGAGATGTGCTTTGTAGATGCTTGAAACCTTGAGCGTTTGCAGAAGACAAGGACAAACATAGTTTCGAGGAGTGGCCCCAAGATTAGTATGTTGCATTTGGTTCATAGATGTCCCAACACCGCTTCACGCAGGACAGGGGCGTCTCAAAGACACTGCCCCGGCTACTCTGCGTTGCTGGGTGCTTAGAGTCTTAGAGAATGTGTTTTTCCTTCGGATCAGGTTGTGCATCCGGCCACTTTGGTGATGATTATATCTTCTATCAGGTTCTGTTTGTTTGATTGTGTTTTGAACGATGCCAGTGTTCCGTGCATGCAGTGATTTTTGACGATGTTGCTAAAAACTGTAGATGCTTGGTAGAATAATTTCGGCTGCTGAAGGCCGCTAAAATGTTGTTGGGGGTATGAGTTTTCTTTTTGCTCACTTAATCCGGGCAGGATTAGATTTATAATATTCGCAGGTTTCTTATCCAGCGACAATTATGTTTACAAGCGGCAAAGAAATTGATCGCCATCACAAGCTTAGCAGTTGTGTGTTGGACCAGGCTTGTTTCCGGCAACTCAGGAACCGCCCGTATGCAGGACAACTGCACGGACAGGTTTTCAGGATGGTGCGGGCAAACTTCCGCTGAAGATCTAGTTGATTATGAAAGCCATCATCATTAGTTTGGCGAGTGTGCCAGGATTCAGTAGGGAAAGCCGGGATTGTGGGCAAGGCGCTCCAAGTGGCCACAGAAGCAATTCCAACTGACAAGACGCATCATCCACCTAGCTTGGTGCATGCGAGTCTGTAGAAGGAACAGTCGATAGCAGATGGAATTTATGCCTGGCATCTACAAGTGTATGTGGTGGGTTTGCACCTGCTTGTCCATTGAACAAACACCCAGCATGGGGCAGGCTTGTTTGCAGCTGCGGCCCCAGGTTGGCTATGATGCCGGCTACGATGTGTTGCATGCCGTGCACAAAGTTCCGTGGCCCTATTGCTGGGCCCGGGACCCAAGCCACCCAGAGAGAGCTCTGAGCTATCCACCTTGCAGCACAAATCCTTTTTGAATCTTTCTCTGCAGCACAGTTGTCTCTACGTTGTCGAGTGGGCCTGATTGTGATGGCTTCGAAGTTGGGCTGACTTTAAGGCTGGGAGCTGCATTGAGCGACTTGATTCCAGCACCTGTATACTTTATACGGCACTGCTAGGGTTGTGGTACTGGACGTGACAGATGCAGGAACACTGCTTTCCTGATTGCAACTTGACACACGGCTACTTGATACCATGTGAATGGCAGCCTTTGTACGTATCAACCAGTTTGACATTAGCAAGAACGATTGCCGTTTGGCGCTCTTTGAACTTGAAGAGACGAGCAAAGCTCCTCGCGCACACCAACAGTGACCTGGGTGGAACTTGAGCGTGAACAGATTTGCGCACGAAAATTGCTGTGCAAGTTTCATCACAGATACTGTACTAATTGATGTTGCACTTTGTCGGACTGTCGGTTTTACCGTCTGAAAAGCATGTGGACATTGGGTGGACGGCAAACTCAAACAAAAACAAAGGTTGGGTATGAGGCCCGCAATCAGCTCAATAGGCGATTGACATCAGACCTCTCTCCTGACCATGGGCCGGCGCTAGCTTTCATCTCGTTTGTCGAACATGAGACAATATTCCCATACGTGCATTGCCGCAGAGTGAGGTTTGCAGGTGCATATGCGTGGTCTCTTTCCCTGAATACAAGGCTTGTGCCTACCTGCATGGCCTCTTGCCATGTGTCGTGTCTGCGCAAGCCCCAACTCCAGCCGTGAACTGTTCGACATTGAGTTGTGACCTGGGCATGAGTGATCATCGAAAAACAACACATCTCCAAGAAGTCCCTTGGACACTTCCAACTTGCATAGTTGTTTGTCATGTTTGTGTGTGTGAATCATGGCTGTGTTGCTGCGTGCTTCACAGAACCCAATCCCAACACGAGTCTTAATTTGCCACTTCCCAAGCAATTGTGCTGAAATGTGCTGAAGTTGTCAGATCGTTGCGACCTCATGTTGTCTGCAACCAGAGCAAATCCTGCAGTTCCCCTCCCGGCAAAGGGGGGAACTGCCTCATCTGGGAACGCTTGGCATTCATCCCAGCGTCCAGTCCTGAGCGCAGCTTGGGCTTAGGACCCATTTCGCCACTCCTTAGGCCTTGGACTTCGCCTTCCGGTACCAGTACGTCATTCGGCACCGCAGCACCTGGGCCCAGAAGTCCCCCTCCAGTGCCGAGGTGGTCAAGGCGGCGAGCAGTGGTGCGAGGGTGAGATTGGTGATGGGAAGAGAGACCATGAAGATAACATGTTTGCATTTTATGCCAATTGATTATTTATGCATGTAAACCGCATGGATTTGCGCCGTGGGTACCATGATTCAAGGTCCTGACATGTTGCAGCCTTGAACTCAGGGGTCAGCACACGCATGGATGGAGGAATGTGACCTTCGCATTCCGACTGTGACATTGGAGGATGCGAGTACTGGTCTCATGCTGGTCGATCAGATTCTGGGGGCAGAGCATGCTCAAATCTACGCAAAGTCCAACGAGTTGGCTTCAAGCCAAACATCAACAATGCATTTGGCTACTATGCCGGAATCTTCACCATAGTATGTGCAGGAATTGCAACATGGTCAATTCTCAAGTTGGTGTCCCCTTTGCAATCGAGCAAGAGCATGAAACTGCCTGGAGCTTTGGGCAGGGTTTGTGAACAGTCTTGATTTGGCCATTTATATCACACTTGGATGGAACTTTGACGTTGCAGGAGCTTATGTTAGTCTACAAATCTTGGTAAGTGGTCTCTCTTAGCAGATGGGCGACATTGGCATACTGTAGGAACATGTCCATCAGCAAGCAGCAGGAAATAGTGGAACACAAACACAGATGCCAAACCGTTGGGAAGAGGTTTGGGCGTGGCTTTTAGCTGTTCTTGTCAGGTGATTCGATTGTTCTTCGGATCAACGTGCGCCTCTTACGAATAAACGTGTTATTGGTAGCACGAATGTGCCGATGTTTTAAAGCTTGGGTGACTGGACATCTCTTCTGTGGCGCACCAAGCAAAGCATTCCCTTGCATGTTCTGGGCAAAGTGAACCAGCCCCACAGTCTGAAGCTCTCCATGCACCAGCGCACGCACCGTGATGCCTTCTTGAGAAAGACATGAACATGTCCTGGCATAGTTACATATGAGCCAGAATCAAAACCCGGGTAGATGAAGGTTAGTAAGGGACAGTCCCAACCTTGGTTTGGGTACACCATTTAAATACCGATCGGTTGTGATTGTGACTCATATGAAGGTTCCTGTTGCATGCCAGGTGGCGTTGGACCCTACGCAGAGCTTTGCCAAAGTGTACCGGAATGTCACCAAGCTTTCAGGCGCTCAAGCGAGCCTTCGCAAAGGGAATGAGATGCGAAGCTGCACCTGGTGGAAAGAGCAATTCTCAGCTTTTCAAGCTGCAACTGGGAGGGGCTGATTTGATTGGCATTCCTTTGATGCTTCCACTTCGCTCAATCCCCACCCTTCTTTCCTCAGGCTGCAAACCTTCAACCCTTCCAAGCTGATTCAGCGCCACATTGCGACACCCTGCCTCATGGTCTCCGATGTGAACGGCCATGCTTTCTCTTGTTGATTGCTTCGACAGGCAGGTTTTCAGAGGCGGCGCAAGGAAGGAACCGCGAGTGTCGGCTGTGGCGCCCGTTGAAGCAATCCTTTCTTTCCATGACATGGATCACCAACCACTAGAGAACTCCCATCATCATACCTCAGACGCCTTCCGCCACACTTCTGCGCAATCATTGACGCTGCATGCGTGTGAGGATGGCTTTTCTTGACACCTCCCGGATCAGATCCAATCAGCCAGTTGCATCCAGAGCCATTCTCATGATGGGAGTTGCAAGGCATGGCACAGCCGCCGGTTGGGAGGTTGGATTCGCTTCAAAGAACACGTCCTTTTGGAGGCTCCGGAAGCCACAGGCTTCAACTCTGGTCGCTTTGCTCTTTGGGGAGGAGTTGCATTTTCAGTAGTCATGATGCAGTGATACACCAGGGCATGATGCGCGCCCTTTCCCCCTGGAATCCTTTAAGAATCGGGCAACATAGTTTGGGCGGTCAGTTTTCAGACCGGCAAGCCTGCATTTTGCTAGAGTTGCAATGAGAGTGAACATTGAACTTGCCACACCTGTATCATTCATTTATCCTGCCGTCGCTTTCTTGAATTTATGCACATTGCCAAAGGACTCTTCACCCTCGATGGCTCCCAAGTAGCACCTGGCACAGTGAGCAGGCTTTGGCTGCAGCACGGCCTGGCTGGAGAATCAGCAGCCGCAGCTGAACAACATCGAGGTGCCCTGCCTGCTGATCAACTCGCGGCCCGGCTCAGTGTCGCAGTGTCGCTGTGGCTCCTCTTTTCCGAAGCCCGCAGGGGGTAGTAGGGGGTTGTATGCATCAAGTGCTCCAACTCGAGGTCCAAAAAAAACTCCAGGTAGCTTGCAGCTGATAGGAGATGCCTCGCGGGTTTGGTGGGTTTTTCTCAGCCGCTCCATGACTGAATTGGCTCATCCTCTCCTTGGTGCAGAAGCCCCTCGCATTCCACTGGTGGATAACCGTGCTAGATTAAATCCGTACTGAGTGAGTGGTCCTTCAAAGCTTCTGGGGGGGAGGGCGTCACACTCCTGCAACTCTTACTTTCCATTTCTTTAACATCTCGCCCGTTTCACAACGTCAATTGTCAGATGCCACACCTCCATACCCAGTATACAGCAAGAACAAAGTAAGACAGAGTTTCTGCCACAGTGCGCCAAAAGTGTTCGCTTTTGCGCAACAAACAAGTATATCAAAACGCTGCTCAACCTTTAACCTTGTTGAATGTTTTTTCCTCTGCGGTATTCACGTGATGTGCAGTGCTGAGAGAGTTTTGCATCATGGCTAGGGCTCTTTCGCAGCGTTTTGCAATGGTGAGACACAAGCCAAGCCTTAGATCTATTTCCGCTCCACATGGAACGCAGAATAGCGGGCCCATAGCGTGACTGGGGCCGGACTTGGCCCAGGCGGGACGACCCCATTTGTGTGTGGCAGAACGTGGAGGACCACAAGCCCCTCATCCAGGAGAACCCAAATCTGGCCCTGGCGGAGCTGCAGCTCGGAACCGGAAGTGCCCTGAAGTGATGCACCTTTTTTAGCTGTTTGCTCACTTTGCCCTGCTTGGCCTCGAACGCCCCAGAACCATGAAGACCAAGAGGAGAACCGTTTCTACCACTTGCGGTTTTGCTCTGATGGTCAGACTGTTTGGGTCCCCGACTTACCTTATGCCTTGGGCGGCGTGAAATTTTATGTTGCGATCTGTCGTTTCAAGCGAAGGGCGGGTTGGTCTTCTCTGGTTGCGGCACCTTCGCGCACCTCACAGATGATTTTTAGTCAAGCTATATTACAGACTGCAAGTGCAGCCATGATCACTCATGCAAGCTTGTGTGACACGCCCAGTCTTGGAAATTCTACCATCTGCCATGGACATGTTCTGTCTTATGAGGGCTTAACTTGTTCATTGGCAGCCATCCACTAAGTTTCCAAGACTACCATTTTGCTTGAAAGCAGGATATCAGACATGGTACAATGCAACATGTGTTTTGGAGGTGCTTCACTCCCAAAGTTGCTACATGTCATTGCTTCAAACTCACCAACGTTCAGTGTCACCGGAGGGAATTGCTATAATTGACTCCGTGTCTGTGATTCTTACAACAGCATCTACGAGACAACTTAAACAGTGCCAATCCAACCGGGACTTGATCCAGCGCAATTGTGCTTGATAGGCATGTACTTATACTTGTAATCAATATAAACCTATGTATATATCTACATATACTGTGCTGATATAGTTATATGCAAGTTTGTGTTCTGCGAATATTGTTGCAGACGTGCCTGGCTTTTTACCGTTGCGCCGTTGCCCAATCCCTCTTAAACATGTTTATGCCTGCGGCCCAAAAACGTCTACTAGGCGTGCTCGTTTTGCGTTTCGTGCATGTTTAACCGCGCATTCGCCCAAGTCACCCTCAAAACTGAGCCCTGTTTTCGGTGGCGTTTTTGCCAATCAAGTGAGCGGTTTTTCGTCGAGCGTGCACTTGCTCAGCTGGGCTGGCGTGATGCTTATTCAGTATGGTCCACCGTCAGTGCAAAGCGCGCCTTTTCAGCAACTTCCATTTTCAGGCGCATTCACTCCACGCGCAACATGACAAGCAGCCCCGCTTCAGTGAGTCCAGGCCCAACATGGTTACTGCCCGCTCAGCATTGCATCCATGGCCACATGAAACATTGGGTGGCCCTGTGCAAAGACTCAGGCGACGTGGCTCTCATGGTTGCAAGCCTCTCGGCCCAAATCGCCGGCTTTTTATGGCTTCTTGTGGCGTGGGGTGCCCCGGCCTTTGCTTGAGTTTTTGGAGGAGGTTCTAGTTTCTATCTGGACCAACTGTGCGGTGGGCGTAATCACTAAAAACCTTTAGCAACTTCTGAAAGAGCGATGGGTGGCCCGAGCTCCGAACGGATACCTTCCTCTGTTCGTCTGGCACGCCAGGTTTGGCTTCTGGGGCTTCAGCTCCATGGGGAGAGACATGATCGGGGAGTTCATCCTGTCCTCCTGGTCCGAGCTCAAGAACACTTGACTTCTGACGTCTGAGTGCGTCTCACATCTCTCCAGGCTGACTTGAGATACTATGCACTTGCAGAGTTCTCGCTAGATGGCGGTGTCAAGATACTTGCTGACCAACATGAAATATGCTCTTTCCAGGGCACCAACAGGTGGATTGTCCCTTTTGCTTGAAGGCGGTGAAGGCATGGCATGGCAGCATGCACTCAACCTGACACGATCAACTCGCTTGGAGTATGTCGATAATGCCTGATTCATGAAGTTTGCGCGCACACGCACACATTTACCTTTAGTATCAGCATTATCATGTTTGAGCGGAACCATTTTTGCAGCACAAAACGAGGCTATCCCTACTTTGCCTTGGCTGTGATGATGTTTGGAACTAAAGAAGACGCGCTTCCCTGCATTCTTAGTGCTCATTGCATGGTTGACTCCTGCAGCCTGTGTTTTCCTGTTTGAGCAGCATAAATGCCACCTCCCTGCATGCCACCTCCCTGCATGCCAGTGTGAGCCTGAAGTTTTGTGATGCTGACATTTGAATTCCAGTCGACGATGATAGGAACATGAGCCATAGGCAGACCGCGAAGACCCATGGCTCTACCTGGATTGACAAGCTTACCAAGCTTGCCTGTCGCTTCTTGACAAACGACCACTAGTCAAATACACACTCAGAGCACTTGTGTCTTTGAGAAGGACAGCTGGCAAGCCCAGGTTGAGCCGCTATCAATCCAGTTTGGAGCACAGTGGTGGATTGCCGCCACGCAATTGATTTCTTACAACATCTTTAGCTGAAGTGACGAAGGAAGGTAGCCTGTGCCACTTTACGCCATCGGCCAACGATGTGCTGGCACTGATTAATCAGAGTTGCCTGTCATTGAGGCGATCAGTACAAAACACTGGGTTAATTATTGCAGGACATTTGGTCCGCTGTCCACATCGAAGAAGTTTTCCTCAGCTGTTTGTTAGTCTGCAAACATTGCAATATGTTTACCTCTCAAATCCCTTGCGGCTCCTTCGACTAAGCGAGTGACCATTTGATGTCAGGCCGCTGATCTGGGCCCGCGCATGGAGATTTGGTCGGTCTATGCAACTGGTTTACCTGGTCAAGTGGTGCTGCGTTTGGTTTTTGCAAGGCGCCACCAGCCAAAGCGACCAGAGGCCACTGAAAGCTACTTCAATGGTATAGGATTGGAGGTCAGAGCGGGTCGTTGCAGGCTGGCTCTGATGAGTTTGCAAGTTGGCTGGTTTGCTTCACTCGGCTTAGCCAGCGAAGCAAGAATGATTGAGCCAGTATGCCAAGGATTAGCAATTGCTACCAGGCAGCCGGTTCAACTCCTTTCGACCTTTGATGTACTAAGTTAACGCGCTGCAGAAGGATTTGGCTCTTCCTTCTGATCTTCACAGCCGACTAAGATTTGCAGACCTTGTGACGGGCTTCCTGGAGTCATTTGGCATTGCGTCAGGCTGTCTCACTATATAGTGGCGTTGCAGCTTGGGCAGCAAAAGTCCACCGTCACTCAAATGACAAGCGGCATAGCTTCTTGAGTTCATCCAGTGGAGAGCCTCAGACGTCTTTGAAAGAGTTGTTCCAAGTGTGGGTGGATAGAGCCCTGCTCCTTGTTTCCTTTTAGTGGTGCGTATAGAGCGTGGCTTAGGTCATTGATGCATGGCGTTGAAAACGATTTGAACTGATGGTGTGTTCGAGTGGGCAGATGAGTAGCTACTACAGTTGTCCGTCCACAAGCTGGCTACTTGCGAGTGTTCATCCGCGCCGCTTCGCTCATTCATTCGTGAGAAGCCAGATGCCCTTGTGTGTCTTACTCGGAATCGGTGCGCCGCAGTGCGAAATTTGTTTGGCCAATTGCATAAGGCATTGGGGATGGTTGGGAGAGGTTCACGTTTCCACCTGAAATCCTCGGTATTGTGGTGCTACTTGCCTTTGAGGCCAAATTGTGAGTGATGAGGCTGCCAACACCGCAGGGACCCGACCAAGAATCTTTATGACGCCACTCATGGCACTGGCACTGGAGAGTGATCCTTCGCGATTTCAGCTCTTTGCATTTCCCAGGATGATGGTAATTATGCCCGTGTCATTCCTTCGGCAGTGATCAGAATAAATGTATTGTGCAGGCCTGAATTCCAAGAAAGCTGCCGCTACCCTTGTTGTTTGCCGCGCAGAGCAGGTCATCAACCTCATGGATCGTGAGCTGGCCTTGGCAGCCAATCTCTCGTGCGCCTGCTCGCTTGGCACGGGAAGGGATGAACCTGCAGCCGTCAGTAATAATTTTTTGGACAGTGGGTCCGGCGTCATATTAGCCGTAAGAGGAAAACCCACGTAAATAAACAACACGGGTCAACACTCACGCATGGCGTTGGTTGCTGACTGGCAGGGAGGGCGCATTTTTTTTCTAACTGATACTCTGATATGTCTTGTGTGTGTATGTGTATGAGTGTGTGGGGGGGGAGCACACTGTCTTGAGCACATGCGCCTTGACACGAGAGGAGATGTGGAATCATTTTGGCTGCTGTTGCTGGAAGCCACTTAGTCAGACCACAAGGACGCAACGCTTGCACTTGGGCTGCTTTCCTGCTTTGCCACATTCGCCCTTCTACTTTCTGCTCTTCCTGCGGGTCAACCGAGGCGACATCGAATTTCGGCGGAGCATACGCGGCATGAGTATCATTCCCTTCGATGAACACCAATTGCCTCCATCGTTTGATGGCCGTGTTGGTAGTTAGCTGGCGTCGGTGTGAAGAGCTGGAAAGGGATGATGTCCTTTTCTTGTGTGGTTCTTGGACATTGTTAAATTGTGATGCTTGACAGATAAAGTCCTATTGACTCGCCGCAGGTTTATTAACACCTTACGAATGCAAGCGTTTCGTTGCAGCGACAGACTCGACAGCCTAGTTTCATTGCCTTTTGCGCCAGTGAGTTTGTGCTTCAAAAGTGCGGACCAAGCCACAGATGAGAGGTGCCAGGTACTGAAGGGCCAAGGCGGTAGGACGCTGGGCTAAAGGGCATTGCTTGGTTTGTTCCTTGACGAGCTTCAAAGGGTTTATTTTTGTTTATTCATACGTAACATTTGGCTTGATATGTGTCGACCTGTATATTGAACCGCCAGGAGGGCCACGTAGTTGTCTTGGCAATCACTTGCAGCCGCTTGAGGAACCCACACTTGATCTGACATGAATATTGTGTATATAGTGGGCATTTGGCCGCCAGTCGCGAAGCAATGATTTCAACGCGGGAAACACTCTGAACGAAAAGCACAACTGAAGTAATGGCCCGTTGCTTCTTTTTGGTTTGGCAACTATGCTTTGCAAACAGTAGGGCTTATAATATGATCATGCACAAGGCAGCAGGATCACCGTGCACCGCTCCTTCCATGCGTCAGGTATCGATACCATGATGACCTGGAAGATGCCAGACACTCTGCAGGGGGCCATTTGCAGTGAGTTGATCAGGACAATGATTTGGAGCCTCCCAGTTGGGCAGACTAAAGCGGAACCCTCAGCCCAGTGTAAGATCATAACACTCCTGATGCAGGCACCACGCGCGCCAATTCGTTTTACGAGCACCGTCGAAGGCGGCCCACGCAAACATAGCGTCAGGAGCAGTCTTTTGACTTGCCTTCTCACAAGTCTAATTAAACATGTAGAAGGTGGCCATTTGGCTTCTGACGACTGGAACAGGTATGACATGACTTTATATATAATGGACCTCGCGACAAGGCCACGAGCCAATCGGAGTTCGCTTAGCAGTTTTAGGGCGCAAGGGACCACATGTTTGGACCACGCTTCTCCTGAGCGCCTGGGATGATGGTTGGGATTTGCCCTCTCATTGAGCTGCGGACAATCGGTACAACGATGCACTTTGACCAGCTACTTGGAGGAAGACCGGGTTCTAGCTGCGATTCAGATTTCTTTTCTGAATGTAGTTGGCGGGTCTTGGCCGATGCTTGGGTTCTTGGTTGTGATGGCCAGGGCTGTGATTTTGTCCACCTAGGCCCTGGATGAGCCAGTTGCGTCTCCGTACGCCGTGGCGCGGGCCTCGGGAAGAGTTCATACTATGCCTTTGCCCTGCATCAGCAAAGTCGAGTCTTTGGTGTATTTTGCTTGGACGTTAGGACTTTCACTTTTGGCCAACTAATGGGTTTTCCATCAAACCACTAAAAGTTAAACTTTTAGCACTCACTTCCTGAGTTCATGAACTTTAAACTTTTTGGGAAGACCATTTTAGTGGTAGATAAAAAGTTCAGACTTTTTTTGGCCAGTCAACTTGGGAAGTGAGAGCAGGGGGGGAGCAGAAAGCAACCGAGGAGTTGTTTAATTGGGGGATGAACAAGCAGTGGATCACATCAGTGAAATGATTTGCAGCACTTGAGCGACGAGACATAAACACTTCACGAACTGCTGTTCTTCGAACACGTATCAATGAGAGGCGTTGTTGGAGCATCTTGCAAATTCCCGCGTGCCAGACATAAGCAAAACATTCAACATGCCTATGTGTCTTGATCATGCTATGTCATGTGTGATGCCTGATGCTTGTTGCTGTTCACAATTTCAAGGAGACCCGTTTCTCTGCACCACTGTTTGCGTTTCACGTGTACGTGCTCATATCAGGTGTTTGTTTCCCTGGGAAGCCACTCACGATACGCACGATCGTCACTCTCTTTTTTGTTGTGCCTTGTGGAAGTCTTGAGCGACGTTTATTATGCAGCATGTGGTGACGCGGTTGACTTCCTGTTGCTTTGCTTTGTTGGTTTTGCAGGACCAAAGCGGCAGTTTCGACCAAGAGAAAGCTCAAAACACGCCCTTGTTGAGCATTGTGTTTTGTGCTTCGTTGTTGTGTTTCCTTAATCGAGTCAACCCCTTGCTTGGGCTCACTAGAGATGGTCATACTCCTGAGCAAGGAAAGTAGACAACCATGATAGGAAACCATGACCATCACGGCTCGCATGAATTTTCACCTTGGCACATGTGACTGGGAGTGACGGATCACACACTGCCGGCCCAGCCCAGGCGAACGTGCCGACGCCACCGCGAAGAGAGCGTGCTTCTCGAAACAAGAGAAGGCTGGGGCCACACGACCCTTCCCACCCACACATGATCAATTTCCCCACGTAGTGACATATCCTTGTTCACACAAACATGTCAATCCTCATGTTTCCATGGCAGGGAGCGATCCCAGCGGTCTCGGCAGTCGGTGGGCAGCCTGGGAGCCCAGCGCAGTGAGGGTGCACTCGACTAGGGACACCCTTGCTTCAACCATGAAACCAGGTTTCATCTTACGAGCCATGGCAACCCCGCGGGTTTGCAACCAACGGGCCTAGGAACACTGGAATACCTTGGGCCTGCATCAAGAGAGGCATGCTCTCCCTGACTTTTCCTTCGGGAACTGGAGCCAGGATGTTCCTTGTTCATCGAGGGACTGGAAGTACAACTGAACAGTGCGCTTCAAAAGGCAATGGCCTGTTGCGATTCGTTTTCTTTCAATGTCTTTGGTTCTTTGTTCCCCCGTTCGCTTGGAGCATAAGATTGTCAGTGTTTGCAACGCCACCACGTGAAACACTATATTCCTTTCAGGTGCCAGTGCATGAACCTGCTTTTTGCGTGTGAGCCATAGAGTGCACAATACCACATAGTGAGACTCTGCCGAGCTAGAAAGCCTAGACAAGGTAGCATTCATCTATGAGGCATGCAACAATGAAGCTTTGCACATTACGCTGACTTGACACCCACCTTCTTGTTGTTTCTGTTGCTGAGCCATGTTCGGGTTTGCACTACAACGGTTTCACGCGTCTCACTGGGTTCATGACGAGTACATACTATTTTGATGCGGTGACTGCCTTGTTGGCGTTGTGGCCACGTGTTTTGTGCTTGCGTTGCAATTGGCTTGGTGAAGGACGTGGGGGAACAGCTCCCGTCATGAATCATATTCGGTTGTAGTTTGTTGCGCATGACTTATATCATCAAACCTGCAGTTGTGAGGTTGTATGTGCCTTTGGCATTCCATATAAACCGAGACAGACTTTTCAACGCGGTCATACGAATAGAGAGTCAGACCGTTTAACGGTGAGCGACTCACACGTGTGGCACTGTTCGGAGTAGGCTTTGGCAACTTGGCACGATATGGGAAGATTTGTGTCTTGAAGCCAATGCATTTGCATCCTTGTGTCGGACGGTAGGCTTGCATTTGGGGCGTGTGTCCTTCTCCGCTGCCAATAGGGATACACTTATAAACAAGTTTCCGCTTCGAATCACAAATGCAGCCAAGGGAATTATTTTGAGACTATTTGCGGGCGAGGCCAGGCTGTTTCCAGGGTTCGACAGGATAAATCTTACTTCCAGACTTCACAGGTCAGGTACCTTTATTTGGCACCTCGAGCAATGAAGAGACACTGCTACTTTCCCTGTGACAGGCTCGGTGTTGCTTTTGTTTTCGAAGGGCACCTATGTGTGCTTGCCTTGGCATGGAATTTACAAGCCAATTTGGGCAGATGTGCATTTCATTTTGTCCCAAGGGCGGAGACAAGTTGAGTGACCCGGCAACGGTTTAGAGGATGTCCCATTTCGTGTCTTTCTCCCATGCTGACAGGGGCACCGATATTGGGCTGGAATCATCCCAATATGTACACACAGCAAGACATATAAGCCTCAATAACAAAGGGATCAACGGTAGCACACGTCCCCCCACATTGGTTTGCCAGCAGGGAGTCAACTTTTTGCTGAGGGGTCCTTTGCACAGTCTAAGAAACTCAAGGCTGTGGGTGTGGAATTTGTCACAGGCGCAGCGGCTGTGTATGCACCTGCAACGGTGCCCAAAAGTCGAAGGGAGGGACAGGAGTGTATGACGCTGGCAAGGAGTATGGGGGCGTCTGGCTGATAGATGATTTGTGAGTCTGTCTTGCTTCTAGCTAATTCAATATGCATTGGGTGTGCCCAAGAGTCAATGGCATGACTAAATAGGAACCCTACGGAAGGGTTGATGGCCAGGTAGTTGCCACGTTACGCCACGTTACGCATGTATGGCCCGAATCCCAGAATACGCAGCAGTGCCGACAAACCAAACCATTGTTTAGATCCCAGAGCCAGAGAGGTGTGGTTCTCATGTCAACTGAGGCAGTATGCTGAAGCTATATTGCTTTTTGCGTAATCAGGAAGGTTGGTGAGCGACCTGCTTCGCTGCTTTCTGAAGAACTGGCAACACTGGTGTACTGAAATCGACGGCAAACCCAAAGTGCGATCGTGTCATTGAACGGTGTGAAGATCAAGAACCACGTGCTTCCGTTTGCTGTATGCTTTCACCACCGCAATCCCTTGATCCGCAAAGTCTGCACATGCCATGCACATTGTTGTGGTGCTCTGGGTCTTCAATAGGTTGGCCCGATCCGATCTCTCAGGAAACATCAAGCTGATCCCTTTGTTCCATCCTATCTACCACTTCGTCAAGAGATGTGCCCCTCGCATGGTGTTTGTTCCATATTACTGCTGATGGGCTCAATCATTGGCTCGACGTTGCTTTGGCCAAGCTGCACAAGGCCATATTTATTAAAGCAAGTGTTCAATCAGAATTGCTGGCATGAGAACGAGAGAGAGAGAGAGAGAGAGAGAGAGAGACACTGTGCTGAGATGCTTCTTGACAAAAAGCCGAGCATCTTTGTGCTGCACATGTTTTGAAAGGCGGTGTTGAAAGTGGCCCGAAGGGCAAGGGAGGCCGTTTGGCAGACCGTTTTGTGTTAGCGCCCGAAGATGCCCATGTGATTACAGAGGCTTGAAAGAGGCAGCTTTTCCTGGCGAGATGCATCGATTCCCTGACCGGTGCAAGTTTGAGTGTTGCGTTGCAGATGTCAGAGGTTGATGGCCAGGGCTTACCGTTCGATTTGAGGGCCTCTAACCTCAGTCACCATCTTGGCCAGAATCAATTTGGGTGCGATGCTCAAGTGGTCAGATCTCTTTTGCCACTGACTCGTGAGATGATTAGGTGCGGATGTGTGGTTGGATTGTGTTGTCCTTTGAGCCTTTCTGGGAAGCAAACGTCCTCAGGAGGTTGTCTCACGGAATGGGCGAACTGACAGAATCCCGGGAAACACAGCCAGGGCAGTTCGAAATGCTTGCCTCCGAGAGGGGTCAAAGTCTTATCTTGATTCTGAATCCCGCCAGCTGTTCCCGGTGTCCTGATACGCGGTTTCCAACTCACGCTTGAGTGTGCGTTCGCGGACTGACCAGTTGGGTGCATTTGGGTCTTTGGGCTGATCTCTCACTCGAGCATCGGGCAGCCCGGGCCCATGGACGGAACGGAGAGCGCAGATGTCGCGACCGCGGACGCGGATGACGCGCTGACCTCGGCGCTTCTGCGGCGGGAGCTCCGGTGGCTGCTGGACTCCGTGGACCAGCGACTGTTGGACCATCAGAGGATCATCGAGCGCCTGCTGAGGAGACTCTCGGCACCTTGGGATTTGGGCGGCGAGGGGTTCGCATGTTGCTTGAAGCATGCTGGAAATGCGAAGGGAACCGTCTAAGAATGAATCTAGAAGCTGTCTGCAGTGTTGGTGGGTGAAGGGTCTCGTCAGAGTATGCTTGGGTTTGCAAACTGGTCGGGAGGGAGTGCTCGATGACCAGTCGAAGAGTGGTCATGTGCCGGTTGGTAAGTGGGGAGCGGTAGGTGGTTCCCATGACAACGAATGGCGGTGACCACAATGTAAGCATGAGGTAGCAATGACAAGACCCAATGCAACAATGCTGCAAGAAGTCCAACATTCAGCTTCAGCCACAACAGATGGTGCATGTTGCCTTCGAAATCTCTGTGCGTTTGAGATGTCTTTCTGCTTTGCAGCATTTCGACCCATCTCGACCCTCAGAGACCCTGTGGCACGTGTGTGTGTGTGTGTGTGTGTGTGTGTGTGTGTGTGCGTGCGCGCGCGTGCGCGTTACTGTTTCGGTTGTTCTGTTGTTCTGTTGTTCTGTTGTTCTGTTGTTGTTCTTGTTCTTGTTTGCTTGCTTGCTGCTTGTTGGTTTGTTTGTTTGTTTGTTTGTTTGTTTGCTTGCTTGCTTGCTTGCTTGCTCGCTTGTTGTTCGTTGTTCGTTGTCTGTGAAATGTGTGCTTTGCATACGATGCCTGGGTTGATGCACCGGGTGCGTGTGAATGGGTTTCGTTTGCCTCGTTACTTTACACCATTTCTCATCACATTTCTGTGGCGGTGTGTTTTTTCACAGCAACACCGACAACACCCTTGAGCAAGACTTTTGACGCGCTGGAAAGTCTCATTATTGCAGACGTCACTTTAGCAGCAATCAGACGAGACTCGGGCCATTATGCTCGGCGGCCCGCCGTGCAACACCCTGGAGCGAAGCCCCACACAACCATCTAGAGTCGACATTGAATGTCGTATGCTTGAGGTTGACGAGTGCTCTGTGGCAGTTCTTACATGCGTTCGGGATACTGATGAAAGGTAGAGTCGAGCCTTCCATGTTGCGTTGCATCCCAGATTCCAACGGGGTTGTATATTGCTCATTTTTGGCAATGCCCCAGCCACTGCGGAAAGGGTGCCATTGCTTACATCAACTTGGAAAGCACACGATATGTGTCTAACATTCTGACGAGTTGCATCACTGCAGGCCCCCGAATCGAAACTAAATGAACCCACAAACCGAGACAATTCGCCAGCAAGTTAAAAAGTTGTCATTTAGTTCCACGTTGCAACGCAAGACCCAAGGCCCGCGTGTGGTGGAGGAGATGCCCAAGCTTTATGAGTCGCTCCAGGTGTGTCCAGGTTTGGGCTTGGTAGGCACTGTGCCCTGCTTCAACTCGGGGGGGGGGCACGGCAGAGCGCTTGGCTGTGTGACCGACATGAAATCGACTGTTCAAGTTAGGCTGTCTAACGATCCTCAATGCGTCTTAGAAACTGGGATGGTCCGACTCTTTGCTTACAGCCAACAGCCCAGTTTGGACTGCCGCAACCCTGCAGCCTCATGCCTAGTCCTAAACCAAGGACCCAACACGTATTTTGAATCCACACTAAACCCACCCCAAACAAAACCCATCCCACCGCAAGCCAACCTTGAACAAGCCCTGAGCCATCAACCCTGAACTCCCCGCCAAACCTGCCCTAGACGAATCCTAAACCAACCCCAAGCCCACTGCAAGCCCGTTCCTAATCAACCGTAAACCAACCCAGCCCATCCCGAGCAAACCACGAAGCAAAAACCTGCCCTTAGCAGCCCCAACCCAACCTCAGATCGACCTGCACCAACCCTTTTTTCATCCACACCGACTTCCAGCAAAGCATACATGCGTAAATCATGTCAACTCACACAACCCAGCCTAGATGTATAACCTAATCTCTCTCCAGACCAACTTAGTTATTTTTCAGGGAGCGAGTGGTTGGGAATTTGGGATATTATAGCGTTTGTTGTATCCATGTCGATACCAGCTGTGCTTTGTTTGCAACCACTATGGTGACCTCTTTGTGTGCAACATCTGGCAAGACTTCTTGGTGCTGCAAGAAGATGCCGACTGTTGGCCACAAATTGAATTGACCCTTTGGCCCTGCAGTGTTGGCCCCGCAAGGCAATTGATTAAGTTTAATTATTTTACACTACTTAGTCACTTCAATCAATGGCAATCAGTCCAGGTTCGTCCGTCCGTGCATTCATGCATCCAACAATCAATCCAGGAGAGTTGCGATTCGTTTTTTGTTGTTCAGTCAGTTGATCACTCAGTCGCTCACTCAGTAGTTAGTCAGCTAATTGGCCAGTCAAGCGATTCTGCTTGTACAATGTCTGACTCAGACATGCAAAGACCCGTTGTTCAGG